GTGGTCGGTGTGTTGGAGGGTTGCGTGATGCTAAGCTCGTGGTCGATTGCTCGGGGGAGTCGAATCAAATGCGGGCTAATGAAGGTACCGTAGCTTTCAAAAGCTGAGGTTCGGAGGCACGGTCAGCTAGCTGTTGTGCAGCGTCAGAATCGGGTATCAATGTCGAAATCTCGCAGAGGAATTGAAGAGAAATGCGCGCACGCAATCAAGAGCGCGCCATGCTCTGCAAAATCGTGGAAAAGGGATGTTTGGCGGCAGAGTCGAGAACAAGCCGAGCTTCTGGAAAAGTGACAAGCTTGAATTGTGTCCCCTTTCGATGCTCTGGCCAGACGCACGAATCAACAGGGATCTGGGCCAAATTGACACGATGACTTTCCGATCTGTTTTTCCAGGCCCGAAGTCGTTTTGGCAGGTGCTTTACTGTGTACCTGGCCCTCCCCGGCCCTGGCCAATGCGGGAGCTCCAGCAGCTGTCCGTTGGATCCCGTAGAGCCGGGCTTATCTCCACTTAATTGAAGAAAGCGGACCTAGTTCTAATATGGCACGGAAAAATGTCGCCGCTATCCCGATGTCGGGCCTCAGCAGGAAGCGGAAGGGAGCTTGAGATGGGAATGGCCCACTGTTCAATGACGGAGCCTCAGCTGCCCCTGCTCTCCGATCAGTCCTGCGCAGCGGTACGTACCCCAAACACCTTGCACGCTGCGAGCGCATGCAACCTTGGACTTTTGGTTCCTGGATTCTTTTACGCGACAACTCCGTTAAACCTCAAGCCCCACGACTCGCTGCGCTTGCAACAGCGACGACAACGAGATTATTGCCTGACTTTTGCACGCCAACGTTATGATCGCTGCTTCCGCGCCTGGACCTTGAAGCGACTCTGTGTCGAATCAATTCCACTTCGTTTACCTCTAGGCAATGCATCACGGCCCTGCCGAATAGATACCAATCATGTTTACCTTTTGCCCTCTTCAGGGCGCCCTTTCCGACTCAACAGCGTCGCAATCGATTCTTGAGCTCGATGGTGGCGTTAAGATTCTCATAGATCTTGGCTGGGACGAGTCGTTCGATGTTGAGAAGCTTCGGGAGCTTGAAAAGTAATTAAGCCCTTCCCCTACTATGGGCGTCCTTCACGATAATCGCTGACACTCCTCCAGACAGGTTCCGACCCTGTCCATCATCCTTCTGACACACGCCACGACATCGCACTTGGCTGCTTTTGCCCACTGCTGCAAGAACTTCCCCTTGTTCACGAGAATCCCCGTATACGCTACCCGACCTGTCATTGATCTAGGCCGCACCTTGACCCAAGACCTCTACGCATCCACCCCTCTGGCTGCGACAAAGATACCCCACGGCTCCTTGACCGAGGCCGCATATTCCTTCTCTCAGCAACCGACGGCCGACAGCGAATTTCTTCTGCAAGCACCAACTCCCGAGGAAATCACTCGATACTTTTCCCTAATTCAGCCTCTCAAGTACTCGCAACCCCACGAACCCCTCCCGTCTCCCTTCTCGCCGCCGCTCAATGGCCTCATGATCACGGCCTACAATGCAGGACACACTCTTGGAGGAACGATATGGCATATTCAGCACGGTTTGGAGTCAATTGTCTACGCTGTGGATTGGAATCAGGCCAAGGAAAATGTCTTCGCCGGAGCTGCCTGGCTAGGTGGCGCTGGAGGTGGTGGTGCCGAAGTCATCGAACAGCTGCGCAAGCCGACGGCCTTGGTATGCAGTAGTAGAGGTGCAGAAAAGGTTGCCCAGGCCGGTGGCCGCGCAAAACGCGACGAGCAGCTCGTCGACATGATCAAATCCTGCGTCAGCCGAGGAGGGACGGCACTCATCCCGGTGGACTCAAGCGCACGTGTCTTGGAGACTGCATATATGCTGGAACAAGCATGGAGAGTAGACTCGCAAACGGACGGCGGCAGCCTTAAGGCAGCAAAACTGTACCTCGCCGGACGCAACATGTCGAGTACCTTGCGATATGCACGAAGCATGTTGGAGTGGATGGACGACAATATCGTAAGGGAGTTCGAATCAGTGGCCGATGGGCAACGTCGTACCAATGGCGCTGAAGGAAAGAGCAAAGAAGGTGTCCCTTTTGACTTCAGGTACCTGAAGCTTGTTGAACGCCGGGCACAAATTGAGAAGCTCCTCTCGGGCTCCGCGGATAATGTCCAAGCGGAAGGAAGAGTCATTCTTGCAAGCGACGATACTCTGGAGTGGGGTTTCTCTAAAGACTTGATCCAGGGTCTCGCAAAGGATTCCAGGAATTTGGTCATCCTCACAGATAAGCCAGCCAAGTCACAGACTGAAAGGCCATCGATAGCCAGAACCCTTTGGGACTGGTGGACAGAACGAAGAGATGGCGCTTCGGTAGAGGAGTCGAGCAACGGTAACAGTCTTGAGCTTGTCTATGGTGGCGGTAGGGAATTGGAGATCCAGGAGGCCAAGAGGCAAGCACTGGAGGGAGATGAACTCAACGTGTACCAGCAGTGGCTTGCGACTCAACGCCAGCTTCAAGCTACGCTGCAAAGTGGCGGCGGGGCTTCCCTGCAAGCACCCGCAGATGCTGCCGACGATGTCTCATCCGAATCCTCATCAGACTCTGGCGAATCTGATAACGAACAGCAAGGCAAGGCCCTCAACATCTCAACAACCATGGGCCAGGCAACACGCAAGAAGGTTGTCCTTACAGACGAGGATCTCGGCATCAATATTTTGACCAAAAAGCGCGGTGCTTACGACTTCGATGTGAGGGGCAAGAAGGGCCGTGAACGATCATTCCCTCTCGTCATGCGGAGGAGACGAGACGACCAGTTCGGCGACGTGATTCGCCCCGAAGATTACTTGCGTGCCGAGGAAAAGGAAGAAGATACACCGGATAACGAAGGCCTGCGGAGAGATGACGATGACGACAGGCTCGGAAAGAAGCGCAAGTGGGATGACGGCAACAACAAAGCAGCAAACAAGCGCCAAAATAACAGGGCAGGGTCTGTGGATGACTTGGATGCCAATGGTCCAGGTGATCATGTCGCTGACGAGTTCGACGACGTGGAGGACGTTGCTGAGGAGGAGATCCAGGGTCCTTCCAAGTTGATCGTATCGACAGAGAAGGTCATGGTCAACTTACGCATCGCATTTGTTGACTTCAGTGGATTGCACGACAAGAGGAGTTTGAACATGTTGATTCCATTGATCCAGCCGAGAAAACTTATCTTAGTTGGCGGCACTGCGGACGAGACAACAGCCCTCGCAGCAGACTGCAAAAAACTTCTAGCGGCCCAGATCGGAGCGTCCGAGGAGAGCGCGATCGATGTCTACACGCCAGCGATGGGTGCTTGGGTAGACGCGAGTGTCGACACCAATGCGTGGGTGGTAAAACTTGCAGACAGTCTGGTCAAGAAGCTCAAGTGGCAAAACGTTCGCGGCCTGGGCGTCGTTACCGTCACAGGCCAGCTCATCGCCGAGGCATTAGCCAAGGAAAAGCTCGTCGAAAAAGACGACGGGGCCAACAAGAGGCAGAAGACAGAGGCCGAAGATGCTGAAGCCGGCGAGGAAGTCAAGAAGGAGGAAGACGAGGAAGATGAGACTACCGAGATCGAAGTAGTACCCACGCTGGACCTGCTGCCTTCAAACATGGCTTCTGCGGTGCGTTCGGTCGCACAGCCGCTACATGTGGGCGACTTGAGGCTCACGGATCTGAGGCGGGCGATGCAGTCAGCAGGATATACGGCTGAGTTCCGTGGCGAGGGTACGCTGGTGATCAACGGCGCGGTGGCGGTACGAAAGACGAGCACGGGCAAGGTTGAGGTGGAGAGCGTGGGTATTGCGGATGCGGCGACGATGATGCAGCACCGTAGCACGTTCTACGAGGTGAAACGGATGATTTACGATGGTTTGGCTGTGGTGGCTGGAGCCTAGGCGCAACTCATGACCATCGTAAGGCCACCTGTGTACTTTAGGATAAGATACTCGATATCTAGATACAAAATGGATTGGCAAGGATGCCTTGAAGCATACGATTAGTTCACAGCTACTTTGAGTATTCGATCACGACCCAAAGTAAATTCGACTCGGCTTGTGCGTTATCAACTCTGAGAGCATTCAGGATGTTACGCTCCTTCAAGACCCGCGCGGCCGATTTTCATGGCGAAATAGTCATGGGCTCTTTTAATCATCCGAAAGAAACTTGATTGATGCCTGTAAATCTAATCCAATGCTAGTCCTTCCCGCCATAGAGTCTACCATGTTGTGGAATTGGAGTTCGCCCAGTCCACATTACGCTTTTCGTGGGGTCGCAATCTCGGTCACTTCGGGGAGTCGAATGACCGGAATCGAGGATCTTGGTGTCCTGCCTAACTCGCAATGGTGACATAAATAGCGAAGACTGGCGGCGATTTGTATGTAGTTCTAGATAAAACACTGCCCGAAATTTAAGAAGCATCATGAAGTAGGCTATCGAATCACATCTGGCCACGCTGAATCGAGGGGAGGCAGCCGCACATCGCGAATGAAATAACCGTGCATGTGCTGTTCAGTAGTCAATGGGAAACAAAGTGCAGACTCAACTCGGGGTAAAATGAAACGCTTGCTTTACACATTCTGCCATATTATCCTGAAAATCGGTCAAGCGTGCCTTGGCAGTTATGGCCGGCGCAGCACCGGCTCAACAAGGGTGGCATTATCCCGAGATCCACCTACCGGAGTTACAATCCTGTCCCGGGGCTCGGCGCTGGACCAGTCAGTGTTTGTCCAACCTATTGGGCCAAGAAAACGTGACTTCGTGTAACTCGCGTTTCGAGTCCTCCCCGCCCATGGCGCGTTTGTCGCGTCCTCTATAGAGAAAGAAGTCGAGAAGTCAACAGCGCGTCTTCATCACTGCTGTTCCTCTCAGTCTTCGAGTCTACTCCTTGCCGACCTCGTCTGGCTTCTTTCCAAACCACCCAACCTTTCTCCAAACCAAATAGTATGAGTGTGTCGGGGCGAGATCTCGCAATGCCGCCCGTGGCCGAGGAGTCTGCGCCCAAGAAGCGCAAAATTCGTAAGGGAACAACAAGCTGTTGGGAATGTATGGCGTATCCTTCCCTACCGGATCATTGGATTCGTGCTGACTGTTGATTGGTTTCTAGGCAAGCGAAGAAAGATTCGTTGCCAATATTCGGACCAGTCTCACGATATCTGCATTGGATGTCAGCGCCGCGGCACCGCCTGTCGGACTCAAGAATACGATGACGATGCATTAGAACAGAACCGAGTGGCCGGGAAACAGCAGGAGACAGAGGAGACGTTGCGGAGGGCCGAGACTTTACTCGAACAGATGACACAAGTGGTCAGCCTCCTCACGCCGGGAGCAGAACGACTGTTCCAGAATCGGGATGCCTCCAGATCCGCGAGTGAACAAGCACCCCGAAGGTCGGAGTCTACGCAACCTGAACCACCGTCGAGGTCTCTAGCTGCGACACCCTGTCTGAGTATTCAAGTATTCGACAGTGTCATGGTACGTCCGAGCCCCCTCGCGTTATGTCCAATTCCTGACGGAAGAGCTAGTTCGACAACGAAGATTATTTACTACAGAATAATCTACTGAAAGCCAACGAAAGTATCGATGGAGAGCATTTAGAATTGTCTCGTACGATCCATGCATTGCTACCATCACAACGAGATGCGGATTCGATAATCTCAGCGGGCCACAATGCGGCCTTTCTTCAATTCTTCACTTTACCCTACAAAGATATTTTTTTGGGCAGAATACGCCCAGCCTCTATTTTGTCTTCAATTCCCAGCTCCTCAAGCCATCCAATACTTCTGGCCCGGACATTGCTATACCTCGCAAATGGCCTGCAGAATCTACCTGCTTCTACACCCGAAACAAACCATCTGGATCTCGAATGCTGTGCGGAAGATGCCATGCAGAAGTATCTCAGCGGTGCCTCCTCCGTGACCAGAAATGATCAACTCACTGGCTCGCAAGAGGCCTTGGAATGCTTGATCCTTGAGACTGTCTTTCACACCAATGCGGGCAACCTGCGTTGCGCTTGGATGGTGCTTCGAAGAGCCATCGGCCTTGCCCAACTTATGGGCCTGCATCATGATCAACCAGACAAACTTATGACACTCGATCCTCAAACAAAGGCCTCAACATCAGTCATGTGGCATAGGATTTTAAGTCAAGAGAGGTACTTGGCCCTAATGCTCGGCCTACCTGCTACAATTCTCGATGATCCGTATGCAGCAAAGCACAAGTTCACCCCTGAGGAATCTCCTTGCGACTACCTTGAACGTCGTCACAGTCAGATAATGCGCTGCATCACTACTAGAAACGAGAGCATCCAACTTGAGGACTATGGTGTCACGCAACAAATTGACCAAATGCTGCAGACGGCAGCTCAAGAAATGCCCGCTGATTGGTGGCTAGTCCCTAACACACGACTTAGACAGCGGCCCGCAATCACAAGTGAAGGGGAGAAGCTTGAAACTATCCTTCGGATTCTATTCCAGATCACTCACTTCAATCTGCTGATCCTCCTACATTTCCCGTACATGCTACGGTCCATTTGCCACGCAAATCACGAATACAGCAGGGCGGCGCGTTCAAACGCAAGCCGCGAGCTCCTTAGTCGATACATCAAGTTCAGATGCGCGAACGAGATCTCGTTCTGTTGCAGAGCCATCGACTTCTCTGCTTTCACGGCGTGCCTCAGTCTGCTTCTCGCGTATATTGAAAGATGGAATCATGACTCTGATGTGGTTGATTTTCTCGTCCATCAGAGAGCAAGTGATCGTGCTTTGGTCGAAGAAGTCACTGAACTTATGTTGGAAGTAGATCATTCCAACAGCAGCTCTGCACTGAAGCAAACTGTTTCCATAGTGAAAGCCTTGTTGGGTATGGAAGCAGATGCTGCGAGTCCCTCGGGAAAGTCTTCGGAGAGCCCATCCGCTGACAGCTCCGGCGATGCTTGTCGTACTAGTCGATGCTTACGTATCAAAGTTCCTGCACTCGGCACTATCAACATCACACGTCATGGCATGTCCTTGATCTCAGGACAGTCTGCATGTTCCACAGCGAATAAGTATGTGGAATCGGGGAATGGGGCCTTCGATACAATTGGCGGAGTCGAACAAGCCCACGAGGAACGACTCCATCTCCAGGAACATGCAAATTTGCGGAACGAAGGTCTTCAGCACACGAGCCACTACACCAACTTTCCTACTTTTGGTTCAGGGGTGGATGAGATAGACTGGAGTTGGCAAGATGCTGGTAGCATCTTACTTGGGCCGACTTCGGGCGAATTGACAGATCCTACAAGAGGCCCGCAAGTCAATTGTCTGCGCAACGACTTCTTCTTCAGTATCTAGAATCTGCAGGCTAGGATGTTTAGGCGAGCTGTCTATAAACATGGAAATTGACCGCTCGATAAAGTTGACAGTTGAAAACGCCACACTTCGTGCCCAGATTCGACGACGATTAAGCCTGAAAATTCCTCCCACGTTCCAGAACAGAAAGATGTCTCAACTTCGGCTTCGCCCTGCTACTTCTTCTCTAACAACTCCTGAGGCATTCCCTTGATGGCTCTCTGTTCTGCGGGTGTAAGTGAGATGTAGAAGTACTTCTCGATAGCCCGCACGCGTTCCGCCTCACTATTCAACGTCTCCAGGAGCTCTACTTTGTCGCCAATCTTACGCTTGACCTCATCCTTGTGCAGTACAATAGTACCCTCGGCCTCCCTTGTCTCAGTGTTCAGAATCGTTCGCATGCACAAGACCGTCTTGACAAAGTAGCTCGTCGGCCTCATCATGACGGCGTAGTTCATGACTTCAAAGTCCTCAGGGAAGAACTCTTGCTCCGTGAAGCAGTTGCGCTCTCGGAAGGGGCCGTCTGCGGTGTCGGTTGAAGAGTACACCCACATGCGCTGACTCGAATCCGTGTTCTGGTCTAGCTTTTGGTAGACGAGCTTTCCTCGCAGGGGAGCGATGGTGGTGAACTCGTGGCCGGTCTCCTTGTTCAAGGGTACGGGGATCATGGTTGCCCCTTTACCGAAACCGACGTCGACTACGTAGCGCTGACTATCAATGGTGACGAGGTTGAGCATGTGAGACCTGTCCGAGGTCAGCGTGGCGTTATCATTAGAAGCTTTTACGAATGCATACCATCCGCCGAATCTCTCGTCGCCCTTGATCTTTGCACCAACGCTGACGACTGTGAAACCAAGTCCCTTGAGGACGGCGCCGAATAAGGCATTGAGTTCCATACAGTAGCCGCCTTTCCCCTGCACTACGACCTTGTCGAAGAGATCCTCCAGATCAATGGAGATGAGGCGGTGCTTCGAGTAGTGCAAGGTCAAGCTCTCGAAAGGGACCCGAGCAAGTTGATGGGCCTGAAGCTCCTTCAGGAGCTGCAATCGATCTGACGCATGTTTCTCTCGCTGGTAGTTGATGTGTTTGAGGTATCGGTCGATTTGCTCCTCGGTGTACGACATAGTGAATGCTTAGTCCGGAAATGAAAGGGCATGCAAGTTGGAAGGAACTGCTTGAAGCAAGTTGTGAGAAATCCTTCGAAAGCTATATCGAGTTGATTACCAATGCAATCTGTGCTCGTGTTTTGGTACGATGCAGATGTAACTTCAAATGCAGGTCTGGTTAGCGCCAGTGAAGTTCAGCTTGAGGGTTTTCTTTGGTGTGAGTAATAGTTTCTACATGTACTAATGACGTGGGGCTTCTCAAAGGGCGCAGGCCTGCGATGTCGGCCATGTATTAGGTAGTGGTCAAGATGAGTACCACTACGACTATCGGCTAATGTCTTCTTGAGGGCCGTTCAAGAACCCACGTGGCCGAAGAGAACAAAAATAGACCAGCGCGAGTTGGTAAGTGAACGTTTCGGTCAAAGCAGCAGTAGTCAGATGCATTTCTAGAAATGCTGCGCAAGTCTTGCTTACAAGGGATAGTACCTACTTATGCCGAGAAACCCACACGCCCATTTACGCAGAGCTAAGCGACTGGTGGACTAGGTAATCATCTTCCAGAAGCGGGAAAAAAGAACATATGCTAATCTGGCTTCTGTGATTCCCTTGCGGTCTGGTCGATTAATTGTAAAGAGGCATGGACTTTGAATGGAACTTGAGAGCGAAAATGGGACTTAAGTACTTCGCTGCCGAAGTGCACACTCAAAGGCAGGTTGATGCTGTGAAACCCTTTTAGGAAGGTGATTGTTGCACCTATGGGCACGTAATCACGGGCTCTTCTGCCACGCCACTGGGCAACCCAACTTCACACCAACAACACAATAAGGTACCTGATCTCCAAACGCATCCGAGTATCACTTTGGACCAATGCGGTTATACTCCCTCGTCCTTTTATTCACATTTGTTCTCTTCGCAATGGGTGAGAAGTTCATCGTCGAGTTTGGCAGCAGCAAGGTGTGTTCCCAGCGCCCACCGTCTGTGCTCTGATGCGCTGACACACGTTCGTGCCGCAGGATGAAGATAGAGAGGCGCTCATCAACAAGTTGACAGAAGACGAGAGAACAAAAGTAGTGAAGAAGTTTGATCATGCAATCTTCTCTGGAGTGGTTATTGAGACTGGAAATCACAATCTGGACACTCTCCGGGCCTTGCCCAACGTCGGCAATGTCTGGCCATCGAAAAACGAGGGGCTTTTAGGGGCGCTTGGAGGTTCGGAAGCGCGAAGAGAATCTGCGGAGCTGTAAACGATGAGAGAGTCCAAGTACAGCATGTTGCTTGTCAGAAAATGACAGATGAAGTCCAATGCGCTTATAAATAAACCGAATGAGAATTCGCAATGTCTATCGTATGTCTAGCTTTCGAGATGAATGAGTCTAAGCCTTGAAAGAAGCCACTTCTGATACGGTGGTGAGGAATCTTGGCACATCATGCCCGAACCGCCCAAGAAACAGCCCATCGACGGCCTCGCCGAGCTTCTCGAATAGGCCCGGTCCAGCACTGCCGCCGTAGATAACTCTTGTCGTACCCGTTCTCCTCGTAACGCTCTCAAAGGCTCTGATCCCCTTGACCACCTCAATAACGTGGCCCTCGCTGGCCGGCTCGCTTGCGCCAATCGCCCAGACGGGCTCATACGCGATGATGACTTCCGCCGACTCAGGCACCCCTGCCAAGGACTGGTCAATCTGGACTTGACATTCTCCCAGTGCGACGCTCAAGTCTCCCTTTGTCTTTTCGCCGATGCATATCAAAGGCGCCATTCCATTCCTGCTCGCCGCTGCGGCTTTCTTGGCCACGACCTCGTCGGTCTCACCAAAGATTCTTCTTCTCTCCGCGTGCCCGACCTCGACGATTGAAACGCCCGTCTCGCGCAGGACAGCCGGGCTGACCTCGCCCGTAAAGGCCCCAAAGTTGTCCCAGTGGCAGTCTTGTGCACCCAACCGGATTGGTACGGCTGAGTTCTTGAGGGCTTCACTGACGGGGTGGATGGAGATGAAATCGGGGATGATGAAGATGTCGACGTTCTCTAGAGATGTTGGAGACAGAGCGGCTAGTTGTGTCTGGACTGTGGCGATGAAGTCGAGTGTGCGATGGAGCGGGAAGTACATTTTGGTTGAAAGGCCGATGAGCCTCTTTTTCGGTAATGTCGTCATCTTGAGGGTATGCGACTTCTCAAGCAATGTCTGCTGGCCGCTTCTCGTTGACCTGTTGCTTTACGGGTTGAGCTGCGTGTGAAGAACGATGCGTTCGGGCTATGCACTTCAAATAGTGCGGAAAATCGGGACTGTACCCCGCCTAGAAGGACTTGTGGCCGGTCACTCGACCCATCTTTGCGGCAATCCTCCTCATCATATCGTCAAACTTTCCGGTTGTCCGATGGCATCAAAGAACGACGAACTTTCCGACCAAAGAGGTGGATGGCAAATAATTTCCTCGTTTTTCGTTGACAACATGTGCAGCTAGATTTCCGCTGGGAAAGCTGACCAAGCTCACCCAACTCTTGCCCCACCAATGTCAAGACGTGGAGAAATAGGGAATGGTGAGCTTCATGTCGATGCAGAGAGTTTGAATGAGATCTGGAAGAACGAACATCAAAAATCATGAGATATGAGTCTTCCGGAAATTGGAATCATAAAATGATGGAAATCATGTGAAGAACCAACTAGCTCATCTGTGATTATCGACTTAATGCTCCTCCTCCTCTCAAGGCTGCTAAATCAAGCCCATCACGAGCTTGGCTTCGCCCTACTGGCCACGCTTCTGAGAATAAACAAGATGAGTAAGAGAACGTAGGAAAAAGATAGGAGGAGGCAATTGCGTTCTTAAGTACTTCTTCTATCATTAACTAGGGGCTGCACATCGGCCCCAAACTTGTCGCTACTCATCGAGCCCTCCTAATGAGTCTACCGGTTTCTTCGGGCATGTAGCCCCGAACATCACTCGCGAAGATGTGCATGTGAAACCAACTTATCAGTGATATCGTACTATGATTCCGGAATGAGAAATGATGTGGCTGGGAAATTCCAATGACTTTGGATATGTGCCATGATGGCGCATAGTATAAGATCGCAGATTTACATGGGAACTCACCATGCCATTGCGAACGCCGCGGTCCAGGGTCAATATTTGAGAGAAAGGAACGCTTTTATTAATCGTTATTGAAATGCAATGCAACTGAATATCTGCTTCATGCCGTAGCCTCCAGACTCTTGATGACATGAACCTTTTCCGCACTGTTGCTCGTAGGGTCGAATGTGTATCCAAGCCAGTCCTTCGCTAGCCGTCTTGCAAGTTCCAAACCAATGACTCTCTCGCCCATGCACAGCACCTGCGCATCGTTACTCAGAATCGAACGCTCGACGCTGAAACTGTCGTGTGCCGTTACAGCGCGGATGCCCTTGATCTTGTTGGCGGCGATGGCCATGCCGAGTCCCGTGCCGCAGATGAGCAGCGCGCGGTCGGCCTTGCCGTCGGCTACCATTTGAGCGGCGGCGGCGGCTCTGTGAGGGTATGCCGTCTTGTCTGCGCCGTCGTGGCTTCCGACATCCTCGACGAACTCAACGCGGGCGTCCTTTTCGAAGTCTGCCTTGATGGTGTCCTTGTACTTGATGCCAGCCTCCTGTTTGGGTGTCAGTCTCATGTTATAAGAAGCAAGGCACTTATGCTGACTTACGTCGCATCCGACCACAATGCGGTACTTGGAAACGGGGTTGCTGCCCATTTTGATAGTTCTTGTATGATGCGGGGTGGTGAAGCTGGAATCTGAATGACAGATCTGGAGATGGAAATTTCTTTGAGATTTCGGATGTCAGGAGACGAGCATAAGAAAGTACCAAAGGCCGCTACCGCCACGACTTACAATACTTACTTATAAAGCGTCGAGACCGCCATGTGCATCGGTGTGGGGTGTGGTTTGTCGCGGATGGCTCACCTCCCTAGCCGATCTTCCGCTGCGGAAATCCGGGGTCGAGACGCACCCACGGCCGATTTACTGGGTCCCCGGAAAATCGCACACCATCAACCGACCACACCACATATGATATCGACTGTTCAGCATCAGGATGGGCCTTTCTGTGAGAATTATCAGACACAAATCGAACTTCAATATCAGAGGAAGCTCATATTATTCAGTTTTGCAACTTGTTTCGTGAGCTTCATCGACATCCAATACCCCTAGACATAGGTAGAGATAGAAGCACCATTACAAGTCATGTCCGACCGCCACATCTTTACCTCCTCGGAGGGACTTGTTGACAAGTCTCTCAGGGGATTCATCTCATACAACCCTTCTCTTGGTCTGGACCAGTCAAACCGTGTGGTCTTTGACTCAACATACGACAAGTCCAAAATCAGCATCATCTCTGGCGGTGGTTCCGGCCACGAGCCCGCGTGGGCAGGTTATGTCGGCAACAACATGCTGGCGGCCTCCGTATCCGGAGATATCTTTGCCAGCCCGTCTGCGAAGCAAATTCAGTCTGCCATTGAGCGTGTGCCTTCAGATGTCGGCACAATCCTTGTCATCACCAACTACACCGGCGACTGCCTCCACTTTGGCCTCGCAGCCGAAAAGGCACGGAGCCGTGGGCACAACTGCCGCATGATCATCTGTGGCGACGATGTGTCTGTTGGAAAGGCAGGTGGTAGCCTGGTAGGACGCAGAGGTCTTGCCGGGCAGATTGGCGTTCTCAAAGTCATCAGCGGAGCAGCTGGCGTCAAGGCTGGCACTCTCGACGACATCCACAAGCTGGGTGTTTCTGTCGAATCCGAGATTGTATCCATCGCGGCCACTATGGATCACTGCCACGTTCCGGGCCGCACAGAGCATGCTCGCCTGGGCGCCAACGAGGTGGAGGTTGGAACCGGACCTCACAACGAGCCCGGCTACAGCAAGGTCTCGCCCGCGCCTTCTGCAGAGGGCCTGATTGACCAGCTGCTGCGGTACTGCTTGGACCAAGAAGATCACGACCGAGCTTATGTCAAGTTCAACAACGACGACGAGACGATCCTCCTTGTCAGCAACTTCGGAGGAATCTCCTACCTGGAAATGGGCGCTCTTGTCGACGAGCTCCTCGAACAGCTTGACACCAAGTGGAATATCAGACCGTCGAGAGTGTACTCCGGCCCTCTCGAAACCTCTCTCAACGCACCTGCATTCTCAATCTCCTTGATGAACATTACAGCGGCATCGAAGAAGTGCGGTTTCTCAGCAGAGCAAATCTTCCAATTCGCCGACCTCAAGACCAACACACACTGGGAGTCAATGGCCGGCGCTCAAGCTGTCCGCCGCGACAGGAAACTCCAGTTCGTGCAGTCACCTCCTGAGGAGCCAAAGAAGATTGAGGCGGACCGCGATGTCAGAATGGATCCGGCAACGCTCAAGTCCATGCTTAACATGGCTTGCCAGGCAGTCATCGAAGCCGAACCCGATCTGACAAAGTGGGACATGGTGATGGGTGACGGCGACTGCGGTGAAACCCTCAAGACGGGCGCTTCGCATCTCCTTGATGCTCTAGACAACAAAGGTATCGCGGCCGAGGGGTCCATTGTCTCAGTTCTTCACGAACTAGAAGACATTGTTGAGAGCAAGATGGGTGGCACGCTTGGTGGTATCCTCGGCATCTTCTTCGTCTCGCTCAGCAACTCTGTAGAAGAGAACGCGTCGCTGGCAAAGTCGCAAGGTATCTTGCCTCTCTGGACACTGGCGCTAACGTCTGCTCTTGAGCATTTGAGTCATTACACACCCGCCAAGATCGGAGACAGGACGATCCTGGATGTTTTGATCCCCTTTGTTGATGCGATTCGCAGCAAGGGTTTCGAGGGAGCTGTCGAGGCAGCGGTTGAGGGGGCCGAGTACACCAGGAAGACAAAGGCAAAGCTTGGTCGTGCAACGTATGTCGCAGCATCTGGGAAGGATACGTCGTTCCACCCCGACCCTGGTGCCTGGGGCGCAATGGTTGCCATTAAGGGCTTGCAATCCGGCATGGCTTAAGTTTTACGAGCGTATCTTTTCGTACCTTTCACACATAATTTAGCGTTAGACTTGAATTTACCAAAACCATTCAACTTCAACCTCGTGTTGTCTCTTTTGGCAGTTCTGAGAGGAGTCATTCTGGCCTTTTCATGAAACTTCGCCAATTATGTCGACGTATTGACGACTTCATTATCGTGAAACCTCAATTATGTCCTCAATTTAGCTTGGCCTCATATCACACACTGGTAAGTGAAATTATTGTACAACTGGCAGTCTTCCTCATAACGGTGAGTTTTGACTTCATGTGGTTTTCATGATGAGTAGCTCAAACGTGACGACCTTGTATCCCTGGGCTTCATGACTATTAGAGCAAGCAAGAAGCTCTACAAATTGTTGGTTGCAACTTCTAGGCTGATCCAGGACGGGCGAAAAGACGCCATATCCCAACCACCAACGTCACGAGAGAGACCAGTCCGGAACCTCCTACCTAAGGCCACAACAGTACTTCGTCATGCTGATGCCAACATTGGTCAAAGTAGCAATCTGCAGCCCTCAGGCCTGCCGCCTGAGCCTGCTACCCCTGAACCTCTGATCCAGGAGCGGCCTGGCCTCATGGCTTGTATGACAGCATCATTCTGAGTCGACTATTCCATTCCGCCGCTTGATTCGCCAATGGATCAAAGATGTCAGGGGTTCCAGCGAGATGCAAGCACTTTACACATGGCAGACTAAGGCATTGCCCAGAGGCTTAGCTCTCTCATCTGCCGGCGACCACCCACGCTGTCGGGATCAGACTGAACGTTCCTGAGGGTCGCCCGAACTGTCGGAAAGGACAGGGAAGCAGCATATGCCATCGAACTGTCAAGCTGTCAGTCCTTGTGGCAGATCGCATGTACCAATAGAGGCAGCAGGGGCCTACTAGCCAAGCTGGAAGATGCCGACTACGTGAAATATGATGTAGTTCAGAGAGTTCACGAACACTCTACTATAGAAGATATTTCTCTTTTGATAGTCGTACAGGCTTTAGGTGACTTCATCCCCATTCAAGAACGCTCACCACAACACACTAAGCTCTCTGGCAGAGCTTCCTTTTGACTATATCACTTTATTAGCGTCGGGCCTATAAGATACACATCACTGCTACATAGAACAACTCCTTTGGATTGAGCCAACTTTCAGTACGGTTTATTCATCGCTTGGATCACTAGAGGTACACCTGTGTACTCTCGAGACAAGTTCGTGTGAATTTGCTGATTATAATTGCGTTCCCACCGGACCATAGCCCAACCTGCCTGATGACCACCTCGCGATGGCACTGCCCTCGTCCGTGTTGACCGGATGACTTCGGTTCGGGAACTCGGCTCGGCGGAGGCTCCGCTCCCGAACACATGCCAATTTCCCTAGGGCAGGCATGGAAACCGGGGCTCTAAGTGTCAGCGGCTCGACTTTCTCAAAAAGACGTAACATCAGAAAGACCCCTTTCCCCAGGATTGCGGAAAAGTTTTGCCACGTCTCCGCACCGTTCGCATTGGCTGCGGCTCACATCCGGGGCATTCTTCCGGGAGGGGGGAAGCCGTGGGAACGTGAACGATTGCCACATTTCCGCAGGCT